CTACTCATCTTTCACTTTTTTTTTTAATAGAGTGAGGGGAAGACTGTCTAAATATTAGTTCAAATTACATTTTGCTTGATTCCCAGTGATCTTGCAGAGCCAGCTACAAAATTTCATTTACCAAACAGGAACGAGCTCAAAAGAGTGCATTGATCTCTGCTTGTGGGAAATTGGGAAGACTGTAACTCTGAAAGTCAAGCTGTTAAACAGTATGTGAGTGCTTATTTCAGAAGGGAAAGATTGAGGGAAATGCTTGGTTGCTGCTTCAAAATGATCCCCTTAAGCACCTCCCTCACACAGGGAGAGTAGTTTTTTGTTCTCGATCTAACAGTAACTAAAACAGAGTTCTTGTTTACACCAAGTAAGTGCATATTGACAAACTGTGAGCTTAAACCAAAAAGCATAGTTTGTTTAGTGACACAGAGTTGTTACTGGAGGCTGTGTCAAAAAGAAAGACCTCTTAAACTTGACTATTACACACAGAGAGCATCATCTCATTAGCCTGGTAGCTACCACATTGCTGCAATAACTCATCTTGATATTTGCTATAAAGCCACCAAACTGAGTAGGGGGGCTTCAGGCATACTTGGTGTTTATGAAGGGATAAAGTCCAAACCAGACTAGTACCTGGTAGGTGGTCACAGGATTACTGCTCAGATTCTTCACAAGAATGCTGCCAGAGATTAACTCATCACTCAAGTTTAGCAGTAAGGACTCAGTTATTTAACCCCAGATCCCAATATTGCCCTGATATTAGCTCCAGACTCCCTCACTTGGGATGGCAAAAAAAGTTTATCCTCATGCTGTTAAACCAAGACTCTGGGAATCACAGCAGCAATCCTAAGGCCATTAACACCAAGTGGGCATTTACTTGAGGTTGGACTGCAAGAGAAAGGGAAAAATGGGACTTGCAGAAGCAGTTACATTTCTAAAGGCCAATAAAAACTACTAAGAAAATAGATTTGTACCAAAGGTAGTCTTGAAAGACTTGCCACATGGTTCAGTAGAGACAGGTTTGAAAACTGTACGTACCTAATAGGGTACCCATCTACCCCTACCAACCTGTTTAAGGCAAGTTTCACACACAATAACACTTGATGTAAGCAAGCATTTGACACTTTTTGGCTTTTGGCTGCTGTAAAAAAAAAACAAACAATGAACCATGGGGAGAGAAAGGAGAGTTCTACCTTTGTTACAGCAGGTACCTTAAGTGACCAGGTTCAAAGTGGCTCTAGTTCAGAAAAAACATGTTTAAAGCATGGACCAAGAGATTTCTACCATGCAACTTCCAGAGCTAGCTTCAGGAAAAATACACCAGACTCATACTTGCTTCCACCATTTCCATAAGCCTTGAAAGGCTGCTGTTCAACTCACTCCAGCAGCTAAGCTAATTTTGATCCCCAAGTCAGTCACAAGTACATTTCAGCCAACTGACATTACTTCATAATCACCAAGGTAAACAAAGACACTCAGTATGAACTAACAGCATGCCACACTCACAAAAACCACAGTTCATGCTAGTATCACAGGCTATCTGCAGGTGGTGGTGGTATGTTCTGTCTAGGACCAGGCCAACTCCCACACAGAAAAGTCTCCAGAAACCATTTTATCCAGAGGGAGCATATGGATGGTAGCAAAACAAAATATTCATCTCCAGACTTTCCCTGTCCATCAAAAAAAGGGGTAAGGATTGGTTAGAGGGTATTGTATCGTAGGAATAATTTTTTTTTTTAGCAAACAAAACAGAATGGTAATAAAGATGTCATTTGGCACCTTGCAGTAGAGTTTTATTTACATCTTTTTAGTGTTCCACTCATTAGTTCCTTCCAGACTAGAGGTAAGTTTTATCAATATCCCCGTGCACTTCCACTATCAACCCCCAATCACTCCATAGGATAAAGAAGGAACCATTCAAGATAACTCAAAAAGATGAAATATACCCCAGTTTAAACACAAAGTGAGAAAAAAACTCAAATAGTTTTCAGAGTGTCTGTTCCAGCCCGAGTGCAGCTGGCATTTCAGTTAACTTGACTAAAGGAGTCCTTCAAACAGTTCCAGTATGTCTAGTGGTACTGAGCACAGAAGTGCTAGACTGTCCATGAAGATACTTCTTATTTGGCCTCTGGCTTGTCTTGCAATAGTGGTATAATTGACTCCCACGCCGTAAGGCACTGAAAAAAAAAACAGAAGATTTAAAACATGGATTGTACATCAGTTCCTGTAATTTTGACCAACCATTCCAGAAGAGCACAATGCTAGTTCAAGAAAGACTACCTGGGTCTTTATAGATTATCAATGAAAGAAGGGAAAAAAAACCCAGACTCTCAAACAGCAAGAAAGTGCTCAGAAGGAGTAGCTGCAGTTTCCAAGGAAAATAAATTAAAGCTTTCCAAAGCCATCAGCTGGCCCAAGCCATTTAAAAATCAGAGCACCCAAGATTTCCAAATATTAGGCTAAATTTTTCTAAACTGAAAGATTGTGGCTTTCAGGTAGGCAGACAAACTGTCTCTAGGAGAAACTGGCATTTTTTGGTGTGACTGTGGGAGAAGACTGATTTGGACAGAATGGCAGCTACTACAGACTACATCCAGCAAACTTATGTGAAAAACTCACACTTAGGGAGGGTAGTTCAGAGAGACAGTGTAGTCCAGTACATCTTTTGGACTTGACTCTGCTGCAAGACAAACTGTTAGTGCCTGGCATAGTAAAATAAAACTGGAGTCTAGCTTCTGGTTTATTAGAAAGTCACTTCAGACTTTGGAGTAATTTCCTCAGAAATGTATACTTACTCCAGTCTTTGTGCTGTGTATCATTACTGTATTTCAGCCATGTACAGCCCAGAAGTCAAACTGGACAAATGCAGAGCATGGAATATATATTATCGAACACTGGGAATGGGCAAACTCATCATCAGCTCTTACATTCACAAGTCACTGTTGTCAAGCGTCTTCCTTCTAATCTTGCTGATTGTATTGCAGGTTAGAGTATTTCTAGTTGTGTATCCTGAAGCAATTAGATTCTTTCCTACCAAAAAGCTTCCTTGCTGCAGCTAAGAGCAAAACTAAGATGTACAGATTTAGCTGTTGATTGCAAGGGTATCTCTGCTGGATGTTCAGCAGAGACTTTAATACCCACCTCCACAGCACAGGAAAGTAGAAAAGGAAAAAAGCAGTAGGCAAGAAGATGACGTACATCACCACGCAGAAGCCTAGTAGTCTTCAATATACCAACCACTGCAGTGGGCAGCACTGTTCTAGCATGAAGGACAACTAGACTGTCAGCATATGCAATCAAATGTCAAGGCCCTTTCACTTAAAACCCCCTCCCCACAAAAAACCCAAAACATCTGATACTGAATTTCAGGTACACATGCACCAACTGAAAAACGGCAGAGGCACCCGACCAGGTATATCCAGTACTAGCATACAGGAGACAGAGCTATGCACTAGAGGACAGAGATTAGAATAATTTAAGCATATCAGGTGTAATCCATGTATGGATCCATGGATGTATGTTAACCCATGTAGTTTGGTTCATAAAAGACATAATCAAGAGATTTTATTCTGGTAGTATTACTAGAACATGCAATTTTGGTCTTTTTCATCACCACTACTACTGCTCAGTAACTTGTTCAATTCAAGAATGCAAGACAGACAAGCATCCAGGATGAAATGTTGTTACGAGACTGTCTTGCAAGACTGCTAGTCTCATGCAGATCACTTGCACATGACCAGCAACTCAATAGATCACACTAAGCTTCTGACAAAGAGCAGCTTCCACAGCACTAGAAATTCAATTTAGATGTCCAAGATTCTTTTCTTCAAAACAGCGTGAAGACTTCCTGAAGAACTGTCACTACCTCAGAGAAAAATTAACTACTCTTATTCCTGCCAATGCGCCAGCAGTGCCACATACCTTCTCGTAGTACTGGATGTTTTTATCTGCCATACCCATCAGTAGGTGCCTGAAGTCTTGTCTTTTGTTGTTCTGCCATCTCTCCATATCTGCTTTCAGGTCAGCATTGAAACACTCTACTCGGTCTTGGCATTTCTCAACATCTGTGGGTACCTGCAGCAAAAGAAATGAAGATTGAAACTGCCACTGAGAGTGCTAGACTGTGGAATTAGCTCAAACCTCACTGAGCAAAGCTACAGAGAAAAGGGTAAGTTAACAGTCCAGTAGGTACTCCAAATAAATTCAGTAATGGCTGCAGGGAGAAGAGTCCCAATTCTGTAATTAGTGAGGAAACAAGATTGCTCAATTTGTTGTCTGCTGCTTGAAGTGGTGGGCAGTTGTGCTTGTCCATCTCCATACCAGATATGGAGGCAGACTGAGAAAGAGCTTGCTAGAGGCACATGAAGAGGAAAGCCCTTTGGTGTAAGAGCTGGGTGCCTATGCTCAGTTCCTAGTTCTTAAACTGAGGAGCTTGACTACAGCTCCAGAGCAACCTCTCATCCTTCCCATTTACAGTTGCGCTAGGCATTTCCTGATTTACACCAGTGTATATGAAACAAACATTTGTGTTTATCCAAAAAGCCACATACGAGACCTCAGTCTTTTCTTGTGACTGTAGCCTCTAGTTTCTAGCTTACACTTATAACCTTATGGGCTGCCTGAAAAATAAGTGTAAAGCACTGACAATCATCACTGTAGATTGGCTCATGGGCCTCTGGACTCAACTCTGGACACATAATCACACATAAGCAATGTGAAAAATCTTGAAGGACAGCCTATTGCAAGCCTAGGTAGAGATTTAAATGGATTACAACAGTAGATGCATGTTAGGCCAAAGAAGTTGGCGTACTTTGTTTATGTTTTAACTAACATCATATATACCACCAGAAAAGTACAGGAATAATTTATCCATGCTTCTTAAAGCAGGAAAGCCATAAACCCCTTTCTCTCCCTTCTTGTGCTGCATGGTAGACTCAGACAGGAAGCCTGTAAGGACATGTAGACTAAAAGCCTATGACCTCAGAAAAGGAACCCCTGAGCTCAAGCACCAGTGTGAGAAGTGAACCCTGCTCTGGGAGCTCTGACTCACACAAAGGCAAAAGGCAGAATGAAGAACATTTGCAGAAGTTTGTAGTGGCTTCTCTCATACTTGATACTTTTCAGAAAATTTCCTTTTTCTTTGAGGGGCACAAGGGAAGGAAGAAGATGAACAGACTACAGAAGAAGATTTTCATGGGTAACAATATAGGAAGTTAGGTGTGCTACTACCTTGTAGTTTGGCAAGGTATGTGGTTTAGGCAGAAACAAATCCACTCTGGTTCTTCTCCAGGATGTGGATTAGGGCTGATCCCTGAAATATGCCATTGACCAATACTCAAGTAAGTATCTTGTCTGTTCTCCAATAAAGCTGTTCAAGACACAGGAAGGACCTCCTTCACATTCACAGGATTTGAGTACCCCTTTATTTACCCAACTGGATTTACATGACAGGCAGCTTGGGGCTCTCTGAGCTGTATACTTCTGGCTACAGCATCTACTCCGCTGCAACTCCAGACATGAAGTTCTCGTATAGGCTTCAGACAAGAGCTATCAAGCCAGTGGCTGGGAGGGTTAGAAGATGGTCTCTCAATGCAAGTATGTCTTGCATCATATTTATAAGTACTCTGCTATCTTAACGGGAAAGGCTAGGCTATCAAGAGAGAGTCATGAAGTCTGGAAGCAAAACCACGTAAGATTTCCCAGTCCAACTAAGTTAGTTTCTAAGCACTCACCAGCTTCCTGCTGCTTCTGCCAGGATCTGAAACCACAATGAAGCTATTAAAAAAAAAAAATCATCTGTTTTGTCTCACAGCCAGCTCTCCTGCAGGCCAGGCTGAGAGGGCTGTATGAGTTTAGAGCTACAGAGACAACCCAGTGGTCAGCAAATGGGTCACTTATACTCTAATTAAGGAACAGCAGCAATGAACTCCAGCTAAGTCTCCACAGGCATCATGAAAGTGTGTGCACATGCACGGGTCCTGTTCAGAAGTAAAAATACCTTTCCTTCCAAAACTGTAGCCAGAACAGGAGCTGCAGCTCAACAGCTGAAACAAAATTTTAAGTTTATTAACAGTTTTAAAGCACTTTATATCTGGTGCAAGGTTAATGAAAAGAGAGGGTATAGGTCTCACATGAAATTTGGACATAAGTTGAAACATCAGTGCTGATGCCTTTATATGTGTTTTTGCCACATAATATTAGCTAGCAACTAGGAACTGAGAAGAAAGGACTTTGGGGGAAGTTGCTACTTTCTTACTGATGGCTCCTCTCAGCTACTTGAATAGCTCAGAAAAACCCAAACGAAGTGATAACTGGCTCAAACTCTGGAAGGGCCCATCACTATTTTAGTAAATCAATTTAAACTGAGAGATGCATGTACAGGCAAGAACTGTGCATAAAACTGCATATTCAGGAGTCTGGTTATATCATTACATGATACAAAGCTCAGCACCTACATCTTCACATGACTCCTAAAGACACCAGTGTCTCAGTATGCCTCACATACAGGATTCAGCATAGTGAAGTGCAGATGGCATCGCTTGCAGCGTAAGCACCTCCACTTTTTTAAAACACTCCTCTATAGCATCATTACCAAGTAACAAATGGTTCTGAAGCACAGCATTTATTAGGCAACTAATAACTGTATATGATATTTCTACCTTCCTAGATAGGTCTTCATTTTGTGATACAACAGTAAGTCTTCTTTCAAGGTTTTTGCTTGTCTTGTTGTTTTGAATATATTTTCTGCCAAATCAGCTAAACATGCTGAAAGGAATACAAACACTGCTCACTGCATAATCCAGCTCATGACTGTCTGTCTGAATCTGGTTTTCAGAAAGTCATAGCCAGGAGACCTTACTGAATGTAGGATGTGCTGCTAACTACAGCTCTGAGTAACCAGCTCTTACAGACAAGGACATTCCCTCCACATCAAAAGGATCTGCAAACCACAAGCTAGGATTTTATAAATATGCAAGGACTCCTACTGTTTTTATTGTTTACAAGATGAAGTTGAACAAAAGACAACAAACAACAAAAGACTGTGTATAGTCCACAACAGACACAAGACCAGAAAAATACCAGTTTGCATTTCTATGCTATGTTCTCTTCAGCTCCTTCAATTAAAGACATTGCGAGCCTCCTGTAAGATTATTTTAGTCCTAATGTTGGAAAGTCAACTATTAGTTCAAAACACAAAGATGAAGGGGAACCAAAGAAAACCCAAGCAGAGGAAGGGAGCAAAACCTTTTGCTGTTGCTGGTTAAAGCCGCAGTGATTCAAGACAGGGCCCTAGGCCATTGCTTCATGCAGAAAGCAGGTGGCAGCATAACCACACCAGTTCACAGCCTTGTTCTGCATGAAGCCCAGCCAAAACCTGCCATCCACTGATACTTGCTGTGTTTGCTCAGCATCACACGGGAAGACCTCCTAGCATGGATTCTTTCACAGTCACAACAGGTGTCCTACAACACAGTTCAGGAGTACCTGGGCCAGGACCTTAACTCAGCTAGCTGATGCACTGCTAAAGCACCATTTCTACCACTGCTTCAGTACCTGTCACTAAACACCAACTGATTGCTGGCAGGTCAGCTCCATCCTGGTCCAAATGATGGGAGATCAACAGTACAGAATTTGCTAGACAGGTTATGTATATTCATACCTAGGCCTTTATTTCACACCACTTTGCCAACAACAAACTTCTGTTCTGCCAGAAATTGCTTATACTACAAAGAAGCCACACAAAGCAAGTTCTGTTTCTCCATGCTTCTCTGGAAGTAACATAAGTGCAAGCTGTTTTTGTAAAGTAGTTTTAAGTGCTAACCTTTGGACGATCTTCTTTTTTCAAGGCTACTGCTTCCAGTTTTGCTTCATACTCTGCTTGAACTTGGTCTCTTTTCTTCAACACATTCTATGGGCAAGAGAAAAGACAGATGTGAGAGGGATCCTCTTGTTCCTTCTCTCCCCAGACTGCAAGAAACTGCAAAGTGATACAGCTTAAGTGCTAATTCAGTCCAAAGTCATACTTTCAGATTTAGTCCTATTTTACAGTATTTAGGAAGCAGCTATTAAAAACAAAGAGCACTTGCTCTCCAGCAGCTGGCAGCGTCAGATAAAATTCAACTTTTGGACAATCTGAAAGTATGCAAGAGAGAAACTGTCATGTAACCAGGAATATAGCCCTAAGTAAATTCAATTCATAAGTAGACCTATAATTAGCATGAAAATTATACAAACAAAAGCAGCAAAGCTGTCAAGGACTAATGCAAAGCTTTTGCTATCCTCAAGCAGCAGACAAATGACAGCATGGGCTAAGAGAAAGGACGGCCACCACAGAAGGTAATACACTCTTTTCATTTGCAAAGTCTCCTCAAAGTCCTTGATAGCAACTTGTTAGAACAAAAGTAAGCTTTGCTTTTAGGTCAGTTTGGGGATTTTGGCTCCTGGTTTAATTAAAGAATTAAAAATACAAAAAGCACAATTTACCTCAAAAGTGTTGAAGTACTTGTGAGTTTCACAAGCAGTGAACATTTTACTAACAAAAGTATTCTCAAAATACAGAGCAAAAGACGCTACCCTTATCTTGTACTACATTCACAAGTCAAGATCTCCACTAGTTATACTAGCCTTGCAACTTAGAAACAACCACAGAAACTAGTCTTTTGAAAAATATACCACTAGAAAATAAGCAGTTCTTTGTCTGCAAGTGGGGGCAACTCACTTCTTTGTTTCAGACAAGAAACCAAACAACTGTTTCAAACAAGGCTAGTAAAGCAGGACAAGTCATGTACACTGCTGACTACAAAAATACCTGTTTAAGAGTAATTCTCAGAGCAATAAGAGCCAGTTTAGTCAAGGTCTGTTTCCTAATTAGAGATGTACACTAATTAAAGATGTACAAACTCTGTAACTACTAATCATCCTCTTCCCCTACTTCCCTCTTAAGCCAAGGGAAGACCACCAGTGCAGTAGCTCTAGAGTAGACAGGAGACATTGCAATTTATATTCTTAAAAACCTCCATCCATGATAAGTGGGAATCACAGAATATTAGGAGTTAGAAGGGACCTCAAAAGATCATCCAGTCCAAGCCCCCTGCCAGAGCAGGATCACCTAGACCAGGTCACACAGGAACACTTCCAGGCGGGTTTTGAATGTCTCCAGAGAAGGAGACTCCACAACCTCTCTGGGCAGCCTGTTCAGTGCTCCATAACCCTCACAGCAGAAAAGTTTTTCCTCATGTTCACATGGATCCTCCTATGCTCCAGCTTGCTCCCATTGCCCCTTGTCCTATCATTGGACATCACAGAGAAGAGCCTGGCTCCTTCCTCCTGACACTTGCCCTTTACAAATTAATAAATATGAATGAGGTCACCCCTCAGTCTCCTCTTCTCCAAGCTAAAGAGACTCAGCTCCCTCAGCTGCTCCTTGTAAGGGAGATGCTCCACTCCCTCAATCAGCTTTGTGGCTCTGCACTGGACTTTTTCAAGCAAAGATGGGAATGATATCCCAATCCATGGAGTTTCTATTTCTTCAGGCAAAAAAAAAAAGAGGACAAAACTGTAAAATTCACCTTCAATAGCTTAACCCTCCCTTTTGTCTCCAAAGGGATGCAGGCAAGCATGCCATGGGTTGTGTTTGCTTGAAAACCACAACATTCCCATTCCTTTCAGAATCTAAGCAACTATGTGGAATAGCCCTTAAGTGATTGAGGTTACCAATGCAACAAAAGCCTGAGAGATTTAACAGGTATTTCTATTTTGTATTGCCTCTTGAACATGAATCAACTGAAATTCTCAGAAAACCATCTCAAGCAATTGCCTTCAGCCTTTAAGAGCCAGGAGTTAGTGCAGGAGGCTGTATCTGTACCAGGAGTAGGCAGTGACTAACAGACTAGAGTCCAAGCGCAGGTGTCTTATTTCTCCTTAAGCGCTCAAGTCCATCCACTGTGGACCATTAACAATATGCTTCTGAATACAGCTTTGAGCATCCATTAATGGCTGACCTGCAAGCAATGAGAAAAATATTGCCTTCCCTTTCACTTGTCCCTTAGTGAAAGGAAGTGTTTTCCCTAGCACCTCCAGGCAATCTCTTCTCAGCTGTAGATCAACACATTAATGCTTCAGCAGCTCCCTTGAAAAGCTCTGTATGAAGCAGCCCCAGACTTACACACCCCATGCAATACTTTCACTAGTGAAGGCCTCACTTAAGAGACAAAAAATTTAAAATTTTTTTTTTTTTTAAGAAGGAACCAACACCAGACAGAAAAAGCTCACACCACATTTCAAGTTATCTGGGGACAGATCTAAACCACTGGTGCCTGTACAAGCAAGACTTAGCTTGCTTTCAGTGAGGCAGATCCTTCTCCATTTTGCATTTGGTTGAAACACATCATCTTGGCCCATCCTATGCCATTTGCATACTACATTGCTTCTTACTACAACCAGACCTCACAAAGGGATCCTTCTTACTGCATGACTTTAGAGAGGCAGTTAGCTATTCATGCGGTGCTTACTTTAAACATGCATTTAAAGTAATGTCTAAGCACACAGCTGGGAACTGCATCATCTGATAAGACCTTCTGGCAGCGTTAAGCATACAGAGTTCATACAACACTTTAATATCTGCACTAAATTATGTAGAGCAGAGTTCATCCTCTGCACTCGCCTCCTTGGGGAACACCAGCACACCACAAAAAATGTGGTGTCGCACATTTGCTGAAAAGGGCCTCACTGCACCAGGATTCAAGACACTGTCTAGACATCCCATACATGGGACCACCACCACATGTTTTAATACAAGCCCACAATGCCAGTCGCTCCCCACTTCTACAAATCTTTCAAATGAACCCAGAGACAGGGCTTCCCTGGAGTCAGCCAGTATTTGTTTCAGCCAGAACTACTGGGCTTTGCCTCCATGTGTACAGTTCCCCCAGGCTGCTCCTCACAGGTCTGAGAGTGCTCCTGAAGACATTAAGGTGAACATTCATCTCCAAAACAGTGAAGATAAACCTCATAGTTCTTACTTCAAGGGAGATTCACCCAGCTAGAGATTGCTCTACAAATCAAGTTCCCATACCTATACCCGGGGTACAGTGTGCAACAGAGAAAGACAGAGTTGCAACAAACTCCTAGCACCTAAAGAATTACCTCCCATCAAGTACCCTGCCCAAAAGCCATGCTCTGAAAGATCATAACAGATTAATTTTGCAAGCAGGCCTCACTGCAGCTGGTGAATAGGACTGCACTGCTAGTGAAGACAACAGCCCTTTCAGCAGAAAGTCTCCTGCACTCTAAGAGAGTCTAATTCCTTTACAGTTACTTACTTGGTTTTACAGAGTCTGGGAAGAGTTCAGCAGCTGCTTAAGGCAGAAACAGCAACAGATTGGTATTTTCTAGTGTAAGAAAACCACACTTGGTACACCCTGAGAGGTTTCAGTTTTGGAATTTGGGAGGGAAAGAAAAAGGGAACAGTCTGCCTTGGCTATCAGTAGTTTTTATTCTTGATTTTCAGACATAGTAAAGCTAATGAGATGCCCAAGGTGGACACTAGGCAGCATAATAATTATTTGCTATTAACTGCTATTTCGCAAGTATGGTTTCTAGATCCAACTAGTTCCAAAGCACCAACACAATGAGTATGTTCAGTTCATTACCAAAAATAACCGACAGGAAAAGTGGCTTTTTAGTGCCCTAAAGGATTCAACTCAACAGTCTAAAAACTAAGCTAAAGAGCAAGAGTTTCTTCAGCTGAAGAGGTACTTCAGGTAGTTAAACACCACTTACCAGGGAGAGCAGCATTAAAGTTGGCTTACAGAATGCACTTAGTGTCTTTGCCATCATCTGACAAGCCCTCTTAGAACAGGGCTGTTTCCAAGCTGACAGGTAGTCTAAGCTGCAGGTCTTTAATGCCACTCTCCCTAAGTGCTAAGTGGTGTTTAACTGCCTGAAGTACTTCTTAAGCCGAAGAAACTCTTGCTTTTTAGCTTAAAAAAAAACCAAACCAAACAAAAACTTTCCCCCCCTCCATATTTGTGAAAAGCACCTTTCACAACTCAGCTTGCCACTTCATGTGCCTTCTCCAGCAGGCTGTGGCATTTGTAGCATCAAAAGCCAGACATCCTGGACTAAAAGCTTTAACCACCAGCCTCGTGCTTGGTTTAAGTACACATACACTCCCCCTTCCTACAGAATAAGGATGGGTCTGAACACCCTGAGTCAAGACTTTCCAGCTACAGCTCTGGGTGTTTCAGTAACACTTGGGTATTAATAGTCCTGTAAAGAAAATGTACCTCATTTATGGTGAAGTCAATTGATGATTATGAAAGCAAAGAGTATACTCAAGGACTTGGTGCAAAGCCTTCTGCAAGAATACTTCAGCCAGACAAGACAGGAGCTATACTCGTAGCCTTCTAAAGCTGGGAAAATAAATCTGCAAGTGTTTCAGCTCTCAGTTTGAAAAGTATAAAATGACTAAGATTAAGACGAAGGAGTACTATATTCAGACTGTAGGTTTATAACAGGCTATTAGATCTCTAAAGGAGTACATACCATAGCCTTATAGCTGTTGTTCCAAGGGGAAAATCCTCAGAAGGAATTTGTCTGTTAGTAATCTATACAGAGAGACCGCTAATATATACTGTACCATAGGCATGTGCTGAAAAGCTCTAACAGCCAAACTAAAGTCCTTGGTTTCAGTTTTCAGTGCAGTTAACTCAGTAATTCTTTTCTTCATGCAATGGGATTGACTACCAATGCTCCTTAAGAGAATAAAAACTGCATTGAACTAGCTTTTGTTCCTTCTGCACAAGCAGTAAGATATCAAATTCTTACCGAGACTGTCACAGAACAACATCCTTTAAGCATTTACTTGGTATGCAGAATTTAACAGAGCTTCGTAACAGACATATGCTGCCTAGGATATCCTCCCTATATCCCCATAGATGAGAGAGAAAGCTGTGTCTGTAATTTGGACATGTGGTTCTCAAAGAAGCCACCCAACCCTGCTACATTCAAGTGACAGAAGCTGCTAATGCTACCTTTTCTACAGGGCCACAGGATGTCTCCTATAGAGTATCACCTGTCACTCTGATGCAGGAGCAACTCTTCAACAGTTTGTGTGTACCCTAGTGTTAATGACCTTAGCTTGACTGAATAGCAGAGCAGATAGAAGCTACCCACGCAATACCCTACTAAACATACCTAGTTGTGTTTCAATTATGAAAACATCTTCCTACTTAATGTATTATTTAATTCCCTACTTTTCCCTCCACCAACACTTCTTTCAGTTAGAAAGAATAAACTTGCTGATATATCATTCCATGCAAACAATGATGCTGTTTTCTGCCACAGGGGTTTCTACCTTCATCGACTCTGAGTACAATATATATTCCCTAAGCACAGGCAGGAAGTCTTCTGTCATGTCTTCACTGAGTTCTTCAAGAGCTGTGCAGCAGTTCCCAATACAGGCAGACACCCCTTCCAGTGGCTCCGACAGCTCAACCTCCAGCCCTCCCCAGGTTGAATAAACAGGTCCATATTCTCGTAGTTCCACCAAGTATTCTGCAAGAGAAAGATGGAAAAGTAGATTAACAGAGTAGACTAAAAAGCAAGGCACAAGGATCTACAAACACTCACATCAAACAGAAGAAACTATGCACCAAGCTTGGCAAACATTAACTCCCTCACAAGTCAAGTCTTGTCTTGCACTAGCATCTTGGCAGAGCTCTATGGCTGCACAGGTTACAGGTCCAAGATGCCTCCTGCTTAACTGACCATTCCTACAAGCTTCCAATACAGAAACACTTGCATCTGTGCAGCAGCCAATGTATTTTTTTTTAAATGTGTGTAAAACTTGGTTCTCCTAAGACAGATCTGTAAAGGTTATCTTCATCTAGGAATTCTGTCTACTACTCCAGATGAACTCTACAGGTTTTACCCCTCTCCCAAAAGCCTTTCCAAAAATAACTCTAATAAGAAAGATTGGTATAACAACAAAAGCAACTTTGAGTAATACTTGGAGAGTCGAGCTAAGACAAGATAACTGCTTTAGGCTTCGGACCTGTTTTAAATCTGCAAGAGGCAAGAGATTTTGCTCTTTGTGTGGCTTACTACAGAGCAGAATCATTGACACAAGTTGACTTGGTCCTGCCATCAACCAGAACAAGATACAGAACACTAAGACTGAAGTATTATGATAGAGCACCTTGTGTCCTTACCTAACTGTTCCTTGATAATCCGCTGTGCTATTCTGTCAATGGTACCAAGCTTTAGAGAGAACGTGTCTAGATACTCCCCAATGGCTGCAAACTCTAGTGGTCGACTTCTTAATTTGTAGCCTCCTGTGACGTATTTGACAGACTCCCCCATCTTTGACAGCAATGCCATTCCTTGCTTTTTGTAGGCACTAAGATCCTAGGAAGTTTAAAAAACAAAAGCACACAAAAAAACCCCAAACCACAACATTTAGAAATATTTCACTTGCATGTTGGAAGATTCATGCAGTGAAGGGTACTTTCCAGTCACGATCAAATCTTGTGAAGGTAAGAGATTACATGTAAGCCTTGGACAAAACCTTTGTACAAGTTGTGCAGCTGAGCACAGTTTCAAGACAGCCTCTAGATGGAGATAAGCTATCCAGGAAAACAGTATGAAATACATTATAAATGAGTAAGTAGTCTACCTATGCACACGGCCAGACTTTCCCATGTTCCTGCACTCTCACCAGGGAGGCAGTGATATTAACAGTTCTGTTTCCACCAATACCATTCATGTCATTCATCCACATATACTTTTAAGCCATAACTCACAATACCAGTATTATGCAAACACAACAGCTGGCTTTGATGACCTAGTACAGAGCTACATATTGCATGCCTATTTGGTCAGCAGCTTCTTCATACCAGAAGAACTATTGCCCACCTACAATCTTCAGGGGGCCACACCTTTACAGTGCATTAGAAAACTAGTTTTAGTTAGCCAAAACGCCGTCCATTTTACATTTTAGTCCTTCCAGCAGGGGTCACTATTGAACATATCAAAACACAAGAGCTATAATGAGGTTATCCTATGCAGCCTGAAGAAGACATGTTTGCCAATTAAGTAGACCTGTAGAGGTCAAGAATCAAGACATGGTATTATAGACTAGACTAAGAGCTTAAATCTTCTTTAAAAAAAACAATAACAAACAGGCATTTCAAAACATATATGTAAGTACTTGGAAAGAATACCATACTACAAGTCAACTATAAGTTTGATTAAGAGAATCTGACATCTTAGCAGCTACTATAATTTTGAATTCAGTTTGCATTTAAATGGAGTGGTCCTAAGCACTGCAAGCAGGCATCAGAAAAGGACCCTTTTCAAAGGTTCAAAATTATTCACTCGCTCTCTCAAGCATTCTGGTGTGTTACTGGTCCAAACAGGGAACCCAAAGAAAGGCCGGTTTCTCTTTTTCAACCAGGACATGGTATCATGACTTTCTGCAGTAGCTAAATTCTGAAGTCCTAGCACACTGAACTGACACCTCACTGCTGTAATACAGCAAGTTCCAACACTAGAGACAGCCAGGGGAACATGTGTCCTTTGCCCTCAGCCTCCCTAGATGCTCTGTGTTCTCAAGCCAAGCCTTGCCTGGGGCAAAAGATAAAGCCCTTACAGTTTTACCGGGATAGAAGAAAACAACTAAGCAGCTCAGAAAGTTGCATCATGCTTTGACATGTGAAAAAAGCAGAATAAAGCTATCTGATATTTAACTATGAAAGTGCAAAGCAAATTCCGCATTTCTGGCTTGTTTCAGCATTTGAGTTCACCACAGCGGGGAGATAAGAGGGAACTGGAGATTGAGTCTCACATTACCAGCAAGGAGAGCACGAGCCTGAAGTGTGTTCAAATTAAGTATCACATTTGAGTGAGCTAGCACAATGTGACATTGGAAAGACGTGCTTCTTACATCTCTTCTCACTTACCAGGTCAAAACGAAGCATGACCGTAGGTCCTCCTAGTCTTATTTAAAACGCAGTACAAAAGACAGTCAAAGAAAATTGCACTGCTGCTGGATGAGTCATGCAGAAGAAGAGCATGAAGTTGTTGACCAAGAACAAACAAGAATGAGGTCTTCATGCTTAGTTCTGAGCGCAACAAGTACAAGCAGTATAGAAGGCACAGACAGATTTGCAAGCTTTTGTGCAAGAGAGATCTCTCCTCCTCCCCCACTTCCCTCCTCTCCAGAAAAGGATTTTACAGTGTCTACGATTTTCTAAATTCTGAACGTCTCCTGCATCAGAGGAATATGTTATAGACACAGGCACACAAAACAAGCAGGTCTGGAGAATGGAATTTGTAAGTCTGCAGACCACCCCATCATTTAAGCAAAGGGAACCCACACTGTTGTCACACACAAAATTAATTCATACCCTCTGGTATTTTAGGGAAAGTTCTGTCCTGCAGATATAGTTTTATTAATGCCTTTCTACTTTCATTTCAAAATAGATGGCAAAGGTGCCTGTTCTGTTGTTCCTGTCGATGATCATATTTGAACGTTACTGGCTTACCTTGGCTGTGAGAAACACGTTGAAGTGCTCATTAAAAGAAAGCACTGGGTGATCAGTTATTCTCTTCAAGAATTTGTCTAATGCTTTTCTCCTTGTCTCTACAAACTCTTCAGAAAAGCGATCGACAACACCCTTTACCACAAATTTCTCAGGAAGAGGCTGTCAGAGACAAACAAAATGCAAAAGATTTAAAAGACCAAAAAACTTGCATCTGCTATTTGGAAACCTACAAAGCAATCAATCTCCCATCTTAATAGGAACTGAAATGCTATGTTTGCTAACAGGAACCATACATCAGATGGGATGCAAGCTCTGCTCTGAGTTACCCTTTAGCAGATCTGGCCTAATGCTAGCAGTTCTACTGAGTACCTTCAGCTGAGAGCCACACCAGTGAAGCCCAGACAACACTCACACTAAGCACTTCTAGTACAGCTGAGGGTGTTCCCCCCAGAGCTATCCATGTTCAAGCTCTAGCTCTAAAGGAGATGCCAGCAGAGCTACACACTATTCACCACAGCAACGTGCATACACACACCTCCGATGCTGAACCAAGGCTATTCACTCCATAGAAATTCAGAAAACGTAACAATTCTCAGTGTTTTTCTCCCCCTTCTGAAAAATTTATGGCTCTTCTGTAAAGGGCTGATAGTCATAATGACAGCACCACACTTAGCAAAGGCAGACAAGCAGGCTTGACACTGCAAGTGGTCAAGCAGCCCAGCCTGGAGCCTTTCTGAAGCACTTACACACTCGGTCATCCATCATAGCTGACATCGCCAAGTATGTTTCTGCAAGTGACAAAGGTCTGCCAACAAATCTACCCTTTCATCTTACTTCTATTTCTGCTCCACCAGTTCATCTCTGCAGTTCAGCCCAAGGCAGTCTCCAGACTGTGGTGTTCTGCAGTCCATCCTGTCACACTTAGACTAAAGACTACAAAGTACCACTTCCGATGGCAGGTAACTCTTTAAGCTTCAGTGTGGTTAGTCTCAGCTCTAACACTAGATCTGCTTTTGTTCTTTCCAAGCATCATGGACTAGGATTAATAGCAGTTTTTAAATTATGCTTTGCATTTTATTCTTGTGGAACAGTCTGCCCAGACACACAATCTACTTTTTCTGAGGCTAACAATGACAGACATTTTCATCCAATTCAGCAATCAGGATTCTCCTCTGCAAATGGTCTGTCACCTGAAATCTGTGACAAAAATAATTCAAGGAGAAAAAGTGCATGGATATGCTATTCCTACCTTACGTTAGCTGATGTGGGATGTACATGAAGACTGCACCTCCCAAAGAAACCAACCAGCATGAATTAGATGCAACACAGCTACTTTTTGACCACTATATTTAGTTCTTAAAATTTAAGACCTATATTCTTATGCTTAGCATTCAGATCAGATGTTCTAGTTAAACCAGTGTAAGGTACACTCTAAACAGAATTAAGAATAATGCTTAGTGCAGTAGTCTTCACAGATGAAGTAACTCTTCCCTTGCTTTAGCTGGGACTCCAGCAATTCACTACCTCAGCACCATCCACAGGAGAAAAAAAGACAAGCTGGAAGACTAGTTTAAAGACACCTAGTTCAACCAAACACATGCAGACTGACACTGAATAATCACTGAAGTTTGAGCATTTGAGATCCACAGAAGGCTGCACCTCTATTACAGAGACTTCTGTCATTTAACCTGGTTTTAGCCATAGCAGTAAGTTATATTCCTGCCCAAGCAGTCAGTATACACAGCTAACAACCAATATCCTGCTTTAACTGTGTGTTACTTATCTACCTTACAGTCTTCCAGCTTAATGGCCTACTTTTCCCTACTGTGACATGTGAGCAGAATTCACTGCAGTTAGAAATGGCTTCAAATATCCAAACATCACCATCTAAAGACAAGATGCTTGGTCACATTAAGCTTATCTTTCCAGTGTAGAGGCAGATGTAAGAGCATTTTACTGTTGTTTGAAATAATGGAATAGAGTAAGTCTCAGATAATTTTCTTTATAAGTAAAAATCTGTAACCAAAGAGATGTAAATTAATCCATATTCAGTTTAGTTTGGGCTCTTAAGTGTAGGCTATCATGACTTGCTGCACTGGCAAGACACATCATTTGTTGCAGGAAGATTCTAGGTAGAATCGCTATACCAAGATTAGGAAGACAATCCCCTTTAAATATTTTGTTAGGCAAAAAACTTCCAGGGATTGCAGAATCTCCAATTACAAATACAGATACTCTCAGATTGGCTTGAAAAATCTTTTCAGAATACACTTGAGTAACAGTGGACCAGAAACCACCTTTAGCTTCTATTCCCCATCTACTTCTAGACAATAAATACATAAAGCATTCAGCAATCTCCCTGTCACACCACTGCATGGAGGAGATTAATAGGAAATTCTGTAACTGCTAACTTGTGCACAGATGGATAAAAGAGGGCGGTGCATCCTTGTGCATCCAAATATTCTGGAAGAGAGGCACTCAAGAGATTGCCTTGCTCTGCAGCCAGTGTCATGTCAAGTATTAGAGCCACTTGTGGCAAATTGCTCTTCTATGAGCAATGAATTCCAGGTCACAGCAAAGCAGCTCAATTCCCTAGCTGTGACTCACCTTCTGCTACTAGACTATTATTTATTGCCTTCAGGCAGGACTGGCAGCCTGTTAGCACTCTCAGGACTCTGCAGAAGTTTAACCTTGATAGTTCTAGCTGTTCAGAGAACACAGAGGAAGACAAGAGGTTCTGGGCAGCTAACACATTAATCTTATGTCTCCACTCCTACCCCAGCAAGCCCACTCACTCTCTTCTCTCTACCCCTTAGTAAACACATTTGCTGCAAGTTAGAAGTGTCACATGATTTCATAAAGTATTTATCTTTAAGAGACTGAGCTATTACTCCACTTAGAGGCAAGTCCTAGAAAAAAATTAAGGATTTAAATACCTCCCTACCCTAGAAGAGCCTAACTGAATACTTCTCACATAGCCTAGTCCTTGCTGAGAGAGGGAGAGCAGAGCAATTTCCCCCTAATCCCAGGTGGGCAAGCTAAAGTATACTAGCAGTATTGCTGTTTCCCAACAATTCACCTTCTACTAGGCTTTTTTAATTCCTTTGTTCAAAAGAGCTGACAGTGGTGATCTCACAGGCTTCCTACTTTTTCACATAATCTACAGTATGATAAACAGACTGCTGAAGATCAGTAACAACCTCAATCACATAAGGTGGTCAGACTGCTAGCTTCAGTGGCAAAAAGGTATAATTAGCTAAACTTCAGCCTACTAATGGCATGCAATAGGTACTAAACCAGAGGATAAGATTTATAAGTCGGTGCAATTAAATGTTAGCATGAACAGTTTTAAAATACTCTTTAAAACCAGCTCAAAAGAACATCTTGAAAAGTGACTGAGACTAGAACTTCAAGGACCTGTGTGGCTTTTCATAAGCCTCAGATACTCAGAAATCTAGATGTAATAACCAATCAAACAAATGAAGGATATTCCATTTATGCCACAACAGATGTAGTCACCACACACACTACCCTACAGGAGTTCTGCCAAATCTCACTTCTCAGGTGTGACACCGAAGAAAAGTTTAAGCTTCATAATCAGTTGAGAATGTGAAGTTTTTACCACTGCACTAGAAGAGAATGAAGTACTGTATTTAAATCACCAAAATATCACCTTTGGAAGCCAGATACAGAACTTTCCTTAACAGCAGATTCTTGCTTACTACCTACAGGAATGAGATGCGTTGGCTGAGACTCTTCCAGCTTGTTTCTCAACCAGTCAAAGTCCTGGTACCGCCGGCGGATAGAATACTCTGGCAAATCAAACTCTGCTCGTGTGGTCTGGAAAAGAAGAACAAGATATATTTAGTGTGCACCAAAACCCCTCATGATTGGAGCCAGCATGAGAGAAAGATCCTCTGACCTTTCAAGAAGTGGGAAAAAGTCAGCAATAAGAAAAATTATTACTAGGAGCTGATGTGTTCTTAAGGATCTATTTGTGCTTCATTACATGGTCCACTCAGATAAAATTAATAGGAGAAGAATGTGGAGAGCAGAGTACTCTGCACCGTGTTAATCTCTTGACAGTCACAAGTTTGCAGGGAAGACTGTATGAAAATCTTCATTCAAAGGACAAGCAATTAAGAATCAAAAGCAAATATATTTAATGACTTGTTTATTCTATGAGGTGCATTAACTGCGGGTGAAAAAAATGTTTCATCACTGCCTGTATTCCAGAAGTGACAGGTTTATTACTTTCCTTCAAAGCTAAAAAATTAGAACATAAACCATTACTAGGTTTGTCAAAAGACTGTTTTTGTTGATTTCTAAGAGGAAAAAAGGAGTTTGTTGACATTAAGTTTGTGTGTGCCTGATCAGAGATATTCGTACAGTAAATTAAATCTTTAAAGTTTTCATTCTTTAGGGAAAGGAATTAAACTTGCCAGTACAAGCTGGAGACAGAAGGTAAGCCTGTAGAGAAACTGCTGGAAAAATGTTTTATCCAGTCCTCCAACAGCCCATAGCCTGGAAAGCAATTGCGAGGGGCAGCTTGCACAGCACATATTGCAGCTGTCTAAAAGCACTAATAAAACTGTCTCTGCTAAAGAGCCTGGTATTACAGTAGCCCTGACTGAAAGGTAGGTGGCCCTTATCCTTATGTTCCACTGAATTCACACAAATGTAGACAGCCTTTATCAGCCAGTAGCGCTGACCAGTGGCTGTAGGTAAAGTCTCTTATCTATTAGCGCTGAGACCCTTATTAACCAGTATTCTGCTAACAGTTAAGGAAAACTGTATAGGTCTATCTAATATAGAAGTAGGAAAGCAGAGTAAGTCCCAGTACACAACCTTTACATCAGTTACTGTTCATCCCTAGTAAACTGCTCCAGCTGCCTTCACACCACAAGCAGTTTGCAAAATTTTCCATCTGTCACGTTTTGTTCCACAGAGGGAGGCAGATGAAAATATGTAATAGTCATCAGCATTTCAGTGTTTGCTGTACAGGCTGTCAAATCTAAACAGCAAATAAGCTTTTCAAAGACTATTTGGACAGAACATAAGGGCACTTCAAGGTTTTAACAACACCTCACTAATGCTGAAAGAATTTGTATCTCAGATCAAACTGTTCATTAGTTTAGCACGAGTTATTTTTTCCACAACACAAAAGGGAAGAGGGTCTTGCCACTGCCCAGGGACAGCAAGTGAAATGTCTGTGGTTTTGACACAGTTTAATTCCTTCTGATTTCTCAGTAGGATCCATAAATCTCGCCTTGCAAGCACACATCTCTCCCAAAAGCAGCTGGGAAACTTATATGGCAGATCTCAACCTCCTAAAAATAATGGGCAAGACATTTCCAGGGATTTTTTGAAGACATGAGCACAGTTCCACTAAGTCAGCACTGCAGTATTCTGGGCTCAGTTTTACTTACCGGAAAGCAAGCAGGGTTACAGATACTACTACCTCTGTTGTTGGAATAGTTCTGACTTGAAGCAGTATTAAGGCAATCACCAAGTCTTGTTCTTGTGTAAGATTCTTGCCTTTCTTGAAAGGAGTTCACAGCCAAACCTAAAGCTAGTTTGTAATGATTATGTGAAATTATTTCCATACCCTAGTTCTAGTCTCTTACTCACTACACCTGGTTGTGGATTCCCCTCCATGTTACTATTTAAGTTTGGGACAAAATCTTCAGCTAGAAAAATGGGAATGGGGGGAAGAGAGCACCATTGGTGTTCTTTGGAGTTCACAGTTTCATTTGCCTCTAATAGTTTAGCCTGTTTGAAAAAGATCAAAGCCCTTACACCTGCTCCTCTATAGAGATCAAGCTGTTTCTTGTGCTCAGGTAATCTACCCACTGCAAGCACTGGAAGAAGGAGAAAGAATAAAAAGAAAACGAGACCTCTACTTCAATATTGACTGGTTTGAAAGCCTCTCCCTTCAAGCCTGGAGAGCAACTGCATGACTCTGAGGAATGCACACAGCAGTTCAGATCTCCATAGAAAAAGGCACAGAAGAAAGCCTTGTTGTCCTAGAAAGCACAGTAACAGTGAATTTAGAGGTACATTTACTTAGTTTCCCTCAGGAGAGATGACTACATAACTTAAGGGCAAGCTTTATTTTCTCTCTCCCTCCTCAGAAAGATCTGCTTGATAAGATACAGGAGCGCACATCAACCTATCTGAAGAGCATAAAGGTGTGCATCAAGAACACCTAAGACATTTCAGACATCACAATCAAGACTAAATAAGTTCCAACACAAGTTTCACCTACCTTTTTGTTTTTATTGGCCCTCTCACATAAGAAAACTGCTGTTAGCAAAAAAGTAGGGTGTGAAAAAGTCAAGAGAGTCAGATCTGAAACACTGTTCCCATTATTTTGGGGATTCCCATTACATTCTTTAAATATGCTCGTGCAGAAGACAGGCTAGGGAATGCTACCTGACTCTTACTAGGAAGCTGTGAAAGTCAGGGCACAAGCAGGACCAAGTAAACCAAGCTTTCTTCTCAGCTCTCTTGCAAGACATTGTTTTGGCCAAATGTTCTGGACCCTTCCTCAGCCACGACCACCTGTTGACAAAGGTATGAGTAGATGAGAAGTCCAGGGCATACTACAAGACTTCTCTTTTTTGCTGTTCTGAAGGAGGACTTCTCTAAAGAAGGAAGAAAAAGCACAGAACACAAAACTAAGACTGTGGTCAGGTTACACTCTTCCCTACAGTGGTGACCAGTCACAGCCACAAGCGCACATTACAGTAGTAGCAATTACATTCCCCTCTTCCACCTAGTGATGCTGCTTTTCACAGGAAGGTCTTCAGCATAACTCCTTCTAGGATCTATGATTACCCAAACCTTTGAGGTTCCAGTAGCCTTCCTCAGTGGAGAGAGAAGAAAAAGCAGTCATCCCTGCCTCCTCATCCACAGCAACCACAGACACCCTGTCAGCCCTTTACAGGTCTCAAACTCCTCTCATGCAAGGCTGCAAGGGGAAAAAGTATGGCCTTACACTGCTTCCAGGAGCAAGGTCTGCTGTAGAACTTTGACCTACAACCTGGAGGTGCAGGCATCACCATTCATCCTCATCACTACCAAGTGATTACTCCTGTGCAGATTTTTGCCATGTTTAGTTACTACTTTCAGCTACAATAGCTGATTGGGCAATTAGCTTGGCATCAAAGAGGCCTTGTTTGTATGGCAAGAATGAGTCAGACCATTAATACTGTTAGTCTTGCAAACAGTTTTTTTTTAAACAATGGTAGATAGGGCTAGAGGTTCTGACCCTAGAGGTCAGCCAGAAGTTTACAAAAATAAACCCAAAGAGGTGAGGCTTAAATGGTGATTAATAAAAATAAACTACACACAGTTTCACAATAGTATTGTAATGCTCTGATACAGATTTATGTGGTACAGTGAGATGCCAAATTAAACAAGACAGGTACATAGATATACAAAAACAGAGGTACAGGGTTAATTTTTTTTAAATTTAACAAAAAGGCCTTCTTGGGTCATACATCTGATCTAAATATGGTAAATACCTTGCCCATGATCCAGAATTCTGCTTTACAAAGGAAGGGAACCCTTGTATGGACACATGTTTCCAAGCAAAGGAACATTATTGGGTGAAACTGCGTAGTTATTTTGCCTTGACAGAATAACTGAGTCGTTAATTTAAGGGAGAAAAAACTTGAATTTTAGCCATTTACCTGTGGAAAGCTGTGTCTCATTTTGTGCTTCCTGTTCCTTCTGATCATGTAACAGCTGAAGTCTAAGTTGCTCCAACTAGAAAAGTTTCCTACAATACTACTTAGCGTTTTCTAGTAGTTAAGATACAGCATTTCTTGCAAGACATTTAGACACAACGAAGAATGACATGCCCACATTAAGTGTACAGTGAGAGGTAGCTACTATTTTAGAGAAACTGTATTTTCTCCTGTGCAGCTCAAAAGTGGAACTTTGAAGTAGACATTTTGAAAAATAATCTGTGGCCTGTTAAGGCTTCCTTATCCCAAATAAAAATATTCTCTCAGGTACCTAGCGCCATCTAAGTAGGACAGAGAGATGTTAATCTTTTTGGACAAGTGGATCTAGTACATTCCTAGTGACATCAATGAACACTTTTTCCTTAGGTAACTGCAAGTGCCCAAAGCAGATGTCATTACATCACGTAGGAACTGATGCTAAAGAGGATGAGCTACTTAACAGAAATCAACATTAGAGTTGCGAGTGCAGTAGACTTTTCAGATCGCTTTTATTAGTGTAGTTAGATGGCATTAATGATTGAACTACAAGACTTGCTGAAAAAAAAATCTAGCATATTTCTTTTAGCAGACAGTAGCATTCTTAGGCTGCTTAGTTTTAACAGCAGCTATAGAGCCTTCTGCACCAACAACTGCATGGAAGCTAGTCTACAGTTGAGGATCAAGATTATGATTTAGGTAAGTGGCTGACAGAGGAAGTGTGGTAAACACTTAAAGCAACAAGCTTAAAGCATTTCAGAAAAGCACAGACAGCAAAAGTGAGACGATTAACAGTGAATCAACAAGGCACATTTCCACTTCAGGGGAGGTAGCTCAAACCAAATGGGTGTCAGATTACTATATATGAACAAAGTTTCAAGTTAATGAGAGGAACTGGCCTTGCAGGTTCACAAACAATTCTATTTAAGAGTCAGAGAAAAATCTAGGCTGACACTTTTAAAGTTTTGCATAGTTTCATATACTGAAGTAGTAACAGTTCCACTAAGAGAAGTCACACCTTCAACACATTCACAAGGTACTGAAAGACAAAAGTGCTTGCTCTTAAGATAAGGAAATACAACTCAAGGCACAGATGTTCAGAACACGCCCTAAGAAAACCTACCCAAAGGAAAAAGTACTAGGAAAGGAAAATGCTGCTTTGTACCTTTGTTGTAACCCTGTATGTGATGTATGTCTCCATTGTGCACACGTGTTTTTTGGGATCATCGACAGTCACAAAGAGGTCTCTAGTTTCCCCATCTAAGTCATCATCCAGCTGCAGTCTGTTGAGAAGAGACGAGGAGGAGGCTGGGCTTGAAGTGTCCACAGGTGTGCCATTGGGTAGACTAAGATCCTGCATTGGAGAGGAAGAAACAACAAATTTTCAATAATTTAACAGATTCACTGTAAAGCACAGCATTCTCCAAGATGGCACTGACAAGCTTCACTGATGTATTATTACATGAGGGCTATTTATTTCAGCAGCTCCAAGGATCACCCTTTCCCAGGGCACCTGGACAACCCCCCTAAGGTCTGGGCTTTAAAGCACTGGGTTGTTCTACTGTTCCACAAGATGAAAAGACCTCCCCTTACAATGTTGCAACCTGGTTTCTATTCATTCATGAGGAAGTAGAAATATTGCTGAACCAACAGTTCCTGGTGAGACCGAACTAACTCACGACGCTGAGAACAAAACAGCTAGGCAAATCAAGAGACCTGCTCAGAAGACAGGCTTCAGGCAAAATGGTTACAGTTCAGTTGACTGGAAAGCAGTCAGCTTTTGCCTCTGGAGACTCCTATAGTAGAGGAAGGAGGGTAAACTTGTATTAGAGGCTTCCCAACCATTAACTTTCAAGCATGTTGACAGCACTCAGACAGAATTGCCACCCCTGCGCTACAAGACAGTCACAGATTAAGCATATTAGTGTGCACCAGAGCCTATGCACACCTCCCTTTGGGAGTCCTAAGGCCAACGAAAACGCTGTTTTGCTTGAAGAGGTCCTCAATCCCATCCTCTCAACTCCAAGAGTATCATCCAATACCTAGGGAAGACACAAGCTAAAAGAACCAGCAAGTGGCTATTTTAGAAAGAAACACACAAGGGTTTGGGAAGTCTGAAACTCCTTGAACTGACTCAGCAGCAGAGAAGGAAAAAAAAAAAACCCAAGAACAAAAAAAACAACCCACACAAAACTTCATAGCCAACTTAGTACATTCTCACACCTTTGAGTCTCACACTTTGAAATAAATCAACTACTCCATAGAGCTAGTGGTTACTCTACTTTGCATAAATATCACAGCAGCTTCACATGTGATCTCTGTTCTGGTTTTGTAGCAGAGGGAGCTGACAGCATGCAACAAGTTGTACAATATGTAGGAACATCTGACAACAGTATTAGAAAGTCCCAACGATCCATGGCTCTTCCTTTCAGAAAAGAGAGCAGGTTTTTTGTTTGCTTTAACTCTTAGCACAATAATAGATCTATCCACAGAGAGTTTCCCTTGTAAGGACAAAGGATCCTCTGGCTGCAAGACAGAAACATCACAACAGCTAAGCAGCACATTAACTAGAAGCGCTCTAGTTTTAGAATTGCTGCTTAGCCCTAGCTTCAGTCTTTAAGTGGCTACATGAAACATGTAATCTTAGCAAAGTAATCTTGTTTGGGTAAGATCCTCTTTGTCCATTAGTATTCCCTATGCAATTGTAGTTTATGTGCCAGCTGGACAAGGGTAGTCCCTGTCTTCAAAAGAAGTCCTTCTTTGTTGAAGGGTTCAGAATTGTGAGAACTTCAAGTTAAAGCTACTTACAAAGCTTGCTTTTGACAATGGCTAAGGACAGGGCTAAGTTCCTACCAGTCTTTGTCACAACCCCATCATGGGAAGACTTTGATTACATAGACGGCCCCCTGCCTGTTGCAGCCCTACACAACTCTGCTAACATTGCTCTTCACCTCGAGGACTGCTTTATGAAGTAGGGAGAATGCTTTAGCCTAGGCATTTTGGGAAAGGGGAACTCTTGTATACTAACACAGAGGTTAGACACATTCTCCCAGCTAATGCTCATATTGGTGCCAAGAGATGTAATATTTCAGATTCAAATAGCAAGTGAGCAAGAACTGGAAGGTAGGCACTCAAATGGTCTCTTAAGAGGGCAAAGGAGCAGGATGAGGATGGCGCAGCTTGCCAGCTGATACATGAGGTAGACAGCTTGAACTACACAAGCATCTAGCTCAAACTCAACATAGCGGGAGTGTGTATAACAGGAAGAAGCAATGCTACAACTGAGCAGATAAGGAGTTCTACTGGAGCTATATACACAGTAAGCAGAAGACAGGATACAATTAGCCACAGGAGATGGCTTCAGAAAATCTGCAGTTCAGCTAGACAGGAGAGCTTGGCTGAGCAGAGTAGAGGGGGCAAAGCAAACCCTGGGACACTGCAGTAGCTGTAGACAACAAATATGTTCCTGTTTCCAAAAGGAAAAGAGAGCTCTCCATTGCCCATGTGCAGTAAGCATCAGTGTAAGACAAGTTCTGCCAGAACAGCAGCCAGTCACATTCTTAGCTTCCAGTATGGAAATTAATAACTTGCAGAAACAGCTTAAGCCTGGTTGCATAGGAGATCTCAAAGCCTGTAACAAAACCCTTCCAAAAGAAAGCTTAAAGAATATGAAGAAATCTGCTTAAAATATGAAAGCTCTGCATCAAGCTGTCAGAACAACTGGATGAAGGACCAAGGATGGAGCTCGCAGCCACTTGCATGAAGTTAGCGACCTTCCTCACCAATATCGTACTAGCATATCTTGCACTTTTTAAGTGGGGCAGAGGTTTGTGAAGGCTAGAATCCACTTCCACCTACTTGAGTATGTCCTTGCAGTAATGGGCTCCTATAGAATGTCTCAGGTCTTAAAATAAAGGCTGTGATAGTTTTACTGATCTCAGCCTTGGATGAAATACCCCAGATCTAGATGAAGTAAAGCTTCTGGACCAGCTCTGGTTAGGAGTTAGAGGGCTGCCAGCTGTGGTGAGGGAAAGGACAGAGGATGTGTACACTGAAAGTACTACTGTGCTATACTGCCCCATCTACCCTCCCCTGGCAGTCAGAGGTGGCATTGTGTCTGCTACTTTGCTAGTTTTCAGTAGTCGAAGGCTGGCTGAGTCAGAAGCTATTTGTGCTTCTTCATGGGTAGAGCCTCCTAGCTAACTGCACAAGGAGCAATGCTTATGACTGCTGAACTTTGGTTTAACAGTAGGCTGGATCAGTTTGATGAAGTCTCATGCTATTGCTAGAAAGAGGTAGGCTTTGAAGTGTCACAGCAGATGGCCTAGCAATCTAAGTTGTCTCAGGCTGTAATCCCTTCAGCACAGCACCTTCTCATCATGTTAACTGGCACTGGCTTTCTTCCATGGGACTTGTGGGATTTTTTTGCAGTTACAGAAGCAAGATGCATCATCTGTTCTAGTCTGCTTTTACCAGAGAAAGAGGAGTATGTCCTGCAGAGCCTAGCAGGAAAGGAGACTTGCAGCCATGTCACTGTACTTATCATACCCACAAGCATCTGAAACACTGACTAGTACTAACCGTTTCATATAACAAGTCGTCCAACTTTAGTGTCAGACTGATACATCAGCTTCACCTTTAGCACACCAAACAGCTGCTCACCCACTGTTTTAAGTGCATATCTGCATTATTAGAGATCAGCACAGTCCAAGTCCCAGCAGGTACCTACTGCTCACAAAACTCTACACAGAAAAAAAAGCCTCTTCTTAATGCACAGCCTGCTGTGAATCTGAGCAGTCCCACAGTGGGGAGAAGAGAAGGCTGCTTCTGGCAGCCAGGCAGATGGCATGGAGGACAGCTTCTGTCAAGATACTCTTCAAGTCTTAGAGAGTATCCATGAAGACTTCCTCAAGTTTCAAAGTTTTTTCTAAACTAAAGAGCAAAGATCCTTACCCTCTGTCCCTCATCTTCTCAGGCCAGTCTCATAGCTTCATCACCTGCTGAAGCATCTCAGGTGAAGGCCTCACAATGCCTGAAGTCTAAATTCTGTAGGTATTGGCTTATTGAGTGAAGATCATGCAGTTCTCCAGCTGAGTTAAGTGCAGCTAGTCAAGGCTACAGCTTCTACAAATTGAATGTTAGTTTTCACTTATCCTGCCTTAGCAAGTATACAGCCTAACCAGACATCTGTGCTATTTAAGCAGTAGTCCATGAAGGAAGTGGCAGAGGTGGTTCAGCAAGGTCTTCCAAGCACAGATAAGCTCATATCTGGAAAGGATTAGCCTGAAACCACTTCATGTTGCAAGTAAACTGCTGTTATTTAACAAGTATTATGTGACAGCAAGAGACATTTAGAATTGTTGCTGTTCAGAGGCAAGTGGTGGCTCAAATAACCCCACCTAACCTGGGGACCTTACAGCCAGGCCTGTACTACTCCTACAGCCTCACTTCTTCACTTCTGAAATTCAGAGTGCTGTACCTCTGTCCTTCTGTTTCAAGGCGTTTCATTGCTTTTTTTTGCTATTTATTTCCCAGAGAGACACAGCCACAGATACAGTCATGTCAAAGGGACAGTGATTCCACATGACTGCAGCTGGTTTCTGGAACAGTCTTAGCTTCATACCTTCAGTACAAAACAATAAGCCATAGCAAAATTGCCACTGGAGGCTGGAAAACTAAAATGGTTTAGAAGCAAATATTCCCGACAACACTACAAAAGCTTGCAATAATTTGGCTTTCACAGGCCCATTCATAGCACTAGTTGCCTCATCCCAGCAAGTTTTGAGAGCAGGTGTTTTTTTGTTTACAGCATTATCTGCCACTGGCCTGCACAGGTCAGCTCTGCATAGAAAAAGAAAGCACCTTTCCATCCTCCAGTCCATCTAGGTCAGTTCATCTGCCACCAACAGCATAGCACCCTATCAGAAGATATCACTGAACATCTGTATAGCAAAATCTTGGTCTGAACAAGATTATTATCAACTCTCAGCTGTAGACAGACACCTAAACTTAACTTCAGATGGAGACCAAGGGAAGAAAAAGCATTTGCTTCCCCTTAACACATGTCCGGTTTCATTCTATGCCAGGCATCAGCATCATACTTTGTTCACTACAGGTCATCTTTGCTTCCCCACATGTATCCGAGACAAATATGGGATGATGCATGTCTCTTCCTCTTGCATTTGTCTCTGGGCAGCTACTTTAAGGCAAGAGTGGGGATCCAGACTGCAGAGAAAGGAGAAATGTTTTGGACACAGTAGAGAAGGGAGAATAAGAAGGCAGTCTTGCTCTGCGAGATTTATAAAAACCCAAACAAAAATTCTCCACAGTTAAACTCTTAAACCCCTATTCATT